ACGTCCTATGTGTAGGCGTTCTGTTGAGTAACAAACTTGGAACCTAAGCTGCTTGGAGCTAAGTGAAAGACATTTGAGGTAACCTCTTTGTACTGGGGCTTGTTCCCCTTGTGTGTTCCACCATACCGGTTGAGGGTGATGGTAGGAAGTGTATATGAGTAGTGTAGAATAACATGAGCATGCATGTAGTATTTATGAGGGTACTTATGTACCGAGTCTCTGGCCAGTAGACAGTGTAGCCTTCGGGCAGTGTGGACTTCCACTGGATAGGTCTCCGAGAGGGAGTTCCAGTTGACCTAGGGTCGTGGTGTGTCATCCGGGTAGGAGCACACTAGAAAGTGTCGGGTGTATATGAATGGAAGGGGTACCTTGGTTGTGGTTCTTGGAACACACCTTGGATGATACCCGTAGGCTTATATATGCCGAGGACGTTACGTGGTATTGGTAGCTACCATCCCGCTTCGCCGTATTTTATATCCCGATATTCCCCAGTTTCTCTAAATCCATTGCTATATCCTGTTTTGAAAGTGGTTGTTTTATATTACTTATATGCATCAAAGTGAACCATTGGGCGGAGTTTTCTCCAGAACCTCTGGGTTACTGAGATATATCTGTATATCTCACCCCGTCTTGGGGGCATTATTTCAGGAGGTAGCAGTGGCACAGGAGCGGCGGGCAAGAAGCCATAGGACGAGTCGTGGGAGGACTTTTATGTTTTGCATTTAGATGGTCGTTGGGCCTAGGCTGTATTTAGATCATGAATAATGTATATGATTGGGAGCATGGTCATTATTTGTTCATAATGTATATTTTGTCGAAATGTATTCTTGAACACCATGTTATTTAGGGAGTATTATCTTGTCTATTTTAAAGAGGAATTGTAATATGTTCAATGGAGTTGTAAGTGGTACCTGAATTGATGTAATCATGAATCATGTGTAATATGATGAAAGGACTTTAGGCCTACTTTAGGATCATGATTAATTGTATATTGAGAAAGTTGCATGTAAATAGACTTGGGTGATTGAATACAAGCTAAAGGTTTATAAAGTGAGCCATATATTATGAATTGTGTAATAACTATATCCTGAGTTGGGTTGTAAGTACCCCCAAGGCATTGTTGGTCCTTGTGCGTGCCACCCATTGGTTATTAGGTACATTTGAGATACTAAAAAGGTTATATAAATTTGGAGATTTTAAGAAAAACAAAGGAAACTCAGACGAATTTTCTGTAGAATTGGCAGATTTTAGTCGAACTTCGGGAGAACATATCTCCCTCCATAAAGGTCCGATTGGGTCGTACCATATGCCATTTTAAATCTTGAGATTTCCCCTACATGGTGTTAAAATATGAGAAAATGCTGGGTTGTACGCAGCCCTGTAGGAGTCGTTGAACACAGACTGTCCAGAACCCCCTTATGCAGGGGCTGTTTCTGGCAGTTTTTGGGAAATTAATTCCCGCTTCGTTTCTCAGTCAAATTAAGAGTATGATATATCAAATTGAAGGTTGAGATGTCTAGTTTGTAGAATAAAAATTTGAGAACAATTGGATGAGTGGATTTGCTTCAGAAATTCTGGAGTGAGAGAGGTTTTGAGCTGTTTTGGGGTTGGTTGGCTGTTTTGCTTATCCAACTTCAAACGGCGATAACCGGAGCAAACGATCTCCGATTAAAGCGTGTGATAGCTTTTTAGAAAGGGAATTAAGTAAGAAAAAAATATAACCCGAGAGGAAAGTCTGGTTTTAAGCGGTGTGTTCGCAGAAAAATAATTAGTGAACCATGTTTGGAAAGGTAAAATCGTAAAGTTGAGAAATTGGCTAAGTGGGTTTATAGGAACCCCTTAGTAACTTATAATAAGTAAAGTAAGACATAAAAATAGTTTAAATAAGTATTCCGCAAGAGTTTACAGTTACGGTCACAACTTTTTATTATTACATTTTTTTTATAGTTGTAAATGTTCGCGTAATAATCGAAAAAAGTTTATTCGCATTTTTATAAATGAATTGCTGTGATTGTAACTACGCTTAATATCATAATTAATGTTAACAATACCGGTGTACAACGGGCTATTACACAATTAAGCTACTGAATGGTCTTTTCTTATTACCACATTCAACTTCAACTATGGAGAGTTTTTTATAATATTAAACATACTAACTCAAATATTTGTCAACTCTTTATCTAATATATAAGTCACAAATATAGGGGTGGCAATATGGGTTGAGCCCGGCGGGTCAACCCGCCAAAACGGGGCGGGTTGGGTTGAGATTTTCAACCCACCAACCCACCTCAACTCGCCCCGCCTAGAAGTGGGTCAAAACGGGTTCAACCCGCCGCGGGGCGACTTGACCCGCCGGGTTACAAATTATTTTTTTTTTTACAATTAGGTAGTATTTTATTAGTCCTTAAATTTTTGTGATATTCAATTTTTTTTTATCTTAGTACTTCCTAGAAAAAATAAAGAATAACAATTTTATTTATGACAAATGTTATCTATATATAAATTCCTAAAGAATGTTTGACAAATATTAGTATACATTTAAGATTGAGACTAAAAAAACATAGAGAAGTGAGAAACAAAATAAAATAATATTAAAAAATTTATAAAATATAATTTATTTTTGAATTTTATTTAATTTTTTTAATTGGCGAGTTGGTGGGTTGACCTGCAACCCACCATAAAACGGGGTGGGTTCATTTTTTCAACCCATATTTTTTGGCTGGTCAACCCGTCCTGCCCCGTTTTTAACGGGTTGGTAGCGGGGCGGGTCGGGGCGGGTCAACCCAAATTGCCACCTCTACACAAATACATACACCTCAAAGAGTTGATTTAGAGGCAAATATAGAAAACATAGATAGATAGTAATCTAGACGTAACTATAAGAATCTTTTTTTGTTGATAAATATAAAAACATATTGAATGCTGATATAAAATGCTGAAAATTAGATGTGGCAAACTGGATTCGGTCCGAAGGGCCGGTCCACCAACACATTTTTATAATTAAATTAAAATTTCACCTTTCTTTTTTTTATAATTAAATTCCTAAATCTGTTTTAAATTTTTGTAAATACAAATTTGTTAAATTCCAAATACTAACGACACTAATCCTTGCGAAAAAAATAATTATTTGTTATTATTTTATAAACCTGATTGTAATAAATGAAATTTCATCTCTGAGATAAAATATAAAAACCTAGACGCAAGTATAAAAACCTTTTTTGTGGATAAATATAAAATCTATTACATGCTGATAGTCAGAGGTGGTAAACTGGGCTCGCCCCGGAAGGTCGGCCCACCAACACATTTTTATAATTAAATTAAAATTTCATCCTTCTTCTGTTATAATTAAATTCCTAAATCTGATTTTAATTTTTGTAAATACAAATTTATAAAATTCCAAATACTAACGACACAAATCCTTGCAAAAAAAAATTATTTATTATTATTTTTTAAACGTGATTGCAAATGAAAGTCTATCTAAAAGATTAGTGTAGTTGATTTGATTCTGTTTAGATGCATTTGTTGCAATGTAAGCAAAAAAATATGACTTATACATGCTTATTTGATTAAGTTGCATTCAAATCCCGTTCAAACAACATTTTTTTTTGTCCTAAAAAAAATTTATTCCAATCTTTTTTTTTTTTGCTGATACTATTACTTTTGGGTGTTAACATATTAGTTTTACTTATTTAATGAGATTTTGCCTTCTTTATCCTAAGCACAAGGAACGAAAATCACACAGGAAATGTCATATTTAGTAAGTGTTGAACTCATCCCTCAAATGATTGCAACGAAATGACACTGAATGAATAGCATTTTCATATTATAGGTAAAAGCTGATCTTTTAACTTCATATTTGCTTGGTGTTATTGTTGCCTTGATTTTGTTGATTGATGTTATAGTTAGCAATGAGTTGTATGCATTTTTCTTTTTATATCCCTTCGTCATGTTAACATGGTGTATTATAACGTATTATTGTGTATTATGATGTAGTTGTATGCAAAATTAAATAGCAGATTTTTGTTTGTGGTTTATATTTGCAAAGTTTTGTGTCAATGCTGTAGTTTTTTTCCATATGAAATATAGAACAAAATAGCAACACAATTTTTTGTAAGTATAAGGTTTGCAATGCGCTTAACCAACCATGGCGGACGACAAATTTTTTTATCTTTTCCCCTGTGCATCGCCCGGGTAATATACTAGTAGTATTAAAATTTGAGACACATGTTTGTTTATACGTGTTTTTTAGTATCAATTATTATTGCTGAAAGTAATTCTGATTATTGAAAAAGAAAATAATAGTTTGGTTGTTGTTGGATCATATTAGTATGCTGGAATTCGTTCCCTTTCCAATATTTCCGTTCTTATTGATTGGAACGTCTTTTAGTAGCAAAATAGATGTCAGAATGCGAATCGGATGAGATTTTGCTAACAAAATCAGTTCAGATGGGAACGAATTTCCATCTCATCAACACCCACAAACCTCCTACTATTACACCACAAAAAAGAAAAGTCCCTCAAAATAACTTTAGCTAATCACCTACGACCGTTTACATCAACACATGCACTTGAGTGTTTGAAAGCATAATTCTTTTTCAATAATATGGATTTCGTTGAAAAGGCCTTTTTTACATTTTTTTTTCTTTTCACCAAGTCAAATGGAACATAATCATGTACAACCAAATCAAAAGAAGATGGAAACTTTTAATGACTCCACCCTATAATTCAAACAAAAAACTACGCAAATTTTTTTTAGCAATAAATAAAATAACAAAAGTAAAATGACTAGGTTATAAGAACAGATCAAGAAATACATCCCAGTGGGATTTACACTTGAATTGATGACAAGGCTGAAAACTTCAATTATTACAAAATTCAAAGAATGAAGTAATTAAACATCATTTAGTCCATAAATCATAAACATACGAAGGAAAAAAATATATATGCAACTTAATTGGAAAAAATTAACTCTTTGTTATTCAGAAGAATAATGCGGCTGGCTATTGTCGATTAACAAAGCTGCAATCTGTCCTGATCTCGCCATCTGAGCCAGTTAGGACATCTATAGAACCCATGTGGACCATTGCCATTGCAAACTTCACAGCCCAATTACTTGCTCCATTATTATTATTATTATATTTATAATTATAATTATAATTATGATTATAATTAGCATTGCTTATAACCATTTGCCTTGTTGATTCGCTGCTCCACAATGTCTGATCGGATGTCAACAACCCACGATGGTTTATCACTCCCTTATAGTACTTGTTGTCCAATCGAATTGGCGTGGCTGCATCAAGTGCCACCGTTGGGTCTGTGTTGCTCGGTGGTTGCGGACACTTTGTTTTCAACCATGCAGCATATGAAGGATCCATAGAGGGATCTTGAGTGTATGTGTCATTGAATGAATACAGACGTTTAGAGAAGGAGGAACAGTGTGATACACCAATTGAATGGGCTCCTGAAAGTGTCACCATTTCATCTGCTGACAACCCTTTTCTTGCAAAATTGCCAACAAGTTGATCAACATTGAAGGTTGGTGCTGGTACATTTTGTGGCACTTCATCACCGATGGAGACACGACCATCTCTGCGTCCTGATGGAACGTCGTAGTTAATGCCACCAAGTTTGAGAGCAGAGTCTCGAGCTGCAAAGGCGATAATGTCAGCACATGAGACTGTGTGAGGACATGCTGACTCCAATTGAGACTTGGCATCCTCAATCACTTCAAACCCACGTAAGCTTGGATTGTTTATGAAGTTGTCTCTCTCAGCAGGTGGGTTACCGGGTGTGGATGCAAGTAACACTGAACCATCACAACCCTGTTTACATATATATATATAGACAGAGAAGAGGACATAGTGATGTTAGACACTTGCATACCAATTACATAGTCAGAAGTTGAAATGTCATTTACGTTTAAGAAGGAAATTCTGAAGGGTGAACTTACCCTCACAAAGCAATCATGGAAATGCGTTCTAATAAGACCAGCACCTATTCCAGGGTTGAGAGAAATTGCTTTGTTGACTGCTCTTCTGACAATTGCCTCAGCAGATGGACATGTGGAGCTATAGAAACCCACCTGCAGTGATGCTGAGCCCAATGATGAAATAGACAGAATGATCATAACCAAGCTTGAAACCATTGTTAGCTTCATGTTTGGAGCACTATCCACCATTGTGTTGTTATTTTGCTAAATGGCAGTGGGAAACTCAGGAGATTGAATGATATAACTAATTAATTTAAGCACAAGACAAGGAAGAGAGTGGTATTTGATGTTGTTGGCTACTAATTAATTAGGAGGAGATTGAGAAAACTTATGCTCAAGCGAATGTATTTATAGGATGGGAAACCTATGATTTTCAAAAGGGTGAGAATGAGATGAAGGGTTCACTTTGTCAAACAAAATGCGTGTATTTGTATTCTACGTGAATAGGTAGTAGTCGAAGTTGTCTGCCGTTGAACACTTCTCTTCGGGCTCAACTGTAACTATTATTTTAGGTAAATATATCATATCGACTTTTGGAAAAAGAGTGATGCCTATATCAGCTTGAGTCCATTGGGAATTTTTCTTCTCTTTTGGTGGTGGCTGCATGTTGCCTTTAACTAGTACACCTTGATTAAGTCTTGACATTTATTTACAAAGAAATTAAATAAACTTTCTATAACAATAGCTTGCCCTCTTGTAGCACCATAATAATGGATAGATGGTCAAAGTAATGAACATAACCCCGTTCAACATCATCTCTGTTTTCAGCTTCATGCTTCCTTTACTTTTTGTTTATGTCAATGTCCAATTGCAACATTTTTTTTTCAAAAAACATGTGCAGGGTGCTAAAGTTAGGGTGGCGGGTTCAACCGTTGTGACCCGTCACCATTATAATAAAAATAAGGTAATATATATTTTGGTAAAATGAGTTAGAAAGGTGAATCCATCCTATTTTCAAGGATAGCAAGTTAAGTCATTTAAAAATAATTAATTTTTAAGAAAAAAAATGTAAATTGAATAAAAATAAAAAAGAAGACAAAAAATACTAAGACTAGATTGAATTCCACGATAGCACATATTTTGTAGGTCTTGACATAAAAAATGTTATAGCTCTTTATCTAAGATTTCCATAAAGGTAAAGAACATCGAAATCCATATTTTGTAGCTCAATTTATATCTAAACTGCCGATACTAGAGCATTCTACGATAGCTTTCATGTAGTAACTTTGAGCTCAATTTTATCAACTTATTGGTCCTAGATGAACTTAAGAGTGAGGTGAATTGAGTTATATAAAATTTTTGGATTTAAATCAATGTTAATTTTTCAATAATAACTTTGATCAATAATAAAAAAAAAAACAAAGAGATAATAAAAGTAATAACGTGGGAAAAACTCCAAAAGGAGGAAAAAAATCATGACTCCAATTTGAAGCGACAAAATGTGCGAGCATTGAGAAGGAAAATACAATATTTGGAGCGACAACATGTGCAGGCATGGAGCAAAAAAAATCCATGATTTGGAGAGATACCTTGTGTTGGGCATAATTGGGTCTGCGGAAGCGCTAAGATCGTTGCTTATGGTTTTGAATGTTTTAGATCATCATCATTTTAGTTTAATAGAAGCTTATCTTTTGTAACACAGATTTGAGATGATCCCCTTGTACATACGTGGCTTCTCGAACTAGCTTGATTAGCGTTTCAACACGAATAACCACCTAGTTAAAGCTCGCTTATGGCAAACCTTCCCAACTATCCTTAAAGGGTAATAGGGGCTAGTGTATGAGCCCTCTCTCACTATTAAAACTAATCTTACTTCAGCAACAGCAACAACAACAGTTGCCTAGGGGCTAATGACTAAAAGTGAGAATATATATAGTTACCAACAAATCCTAGCCTAAGCTTTTTAGGCTCTAAATTTTATAAGCTCTTTTCATATACTGAGTCCAATTGAGTTTTTAAAAAAAGAGCATAAACCCAACAATCTCCCACTTGATCTTGAGTACAAACTAGAACCCAAAGTCCAAGATCATGTAACTCATTAGTCATCATCAACAGACAATGCCTTATCCCTTATCTCGAGCTAGCCAAGGGTTCTATCATCTATTATTAATCAAGACTCTTGATAATCAATAAATGAATATCTGGTTCGGTGCCGCTCCATTAAAAGCCCGAACTTGTATTCTAAGATCAATAATATATATATATAACATGAATATGTATCGCCTCTTTGTAGAATATCAATAATTGACTGATGAGGTTTCTGTTACTCAATCAATTATTTATTCCCTTGATTGTGATAGTTTCTCTAATGGATTACATTCGTTGGCCAGTGTCTTCAATATCCAAGTACCGAAACATATCGAGGGGACATATTATAATAATCCACAGTACTAAGCTTTGTGTAAATGGAATATATCACAAGGAATGATAAGATAATCATGAGATTAATATGATAATATGAATAAGAATTCAATTCTTGCCAATCAAGTCAATTAGAGACAATAAAGTAATTATGGAAAAATACAGGGTCAAAGTGCAAATATGAAAAAGTTTAGGGGCTAATTTGCAAATAGGCAAAAGTTGGCCTAAACTTAATTTTGATGAAATAATAAGGAAATTTGGGAAATTTCATGGGTTTTAAATGATGTCATTGACGAGTGCTTATGTTTGTAGGTTAAGTTATAAAGTAAAATCATTTGAGGGATCTAGTTGCAATTTTTAATAACTACAGTCAAAAGTCAACTTTTTCTTAAGTTATAAGACTTGAGCAATTAGAAATCATTTCATTTCTTTCTTTCTTCTTCCTCGAACCCGCACCTAGTCGTGACTACATGGTTGCTTTCTTCCAAAATTCTGCAACCTTATTTAGCCATTAAAACACCTAACTCCTTTGACAAAAATTGGAGCTTACGATCCTAGGAACAAAACCCTATACTTAGTTCACCTTGAAAGGCCTTGGATGATGAGATTTCCATCCTTCATGGCTTCGGTTATTGTTCATTCAAGAGGTTTGGATGAGTAGTTTTTGATGGTTTAAAGCTTGGAGATTAAAGCTTTGGTGATTTGGAACACAACTAAGGTAAGAAACTGCAATTTAAGCGGTTGAAATGTGAAGTTTGAATTTAGGTTTTCATGAGATTTTGAAGGATTTTTGGTTACGGAAAATCATGATTGGTTGTTATTTTTTGATGATGGGATATGTTCTTTTATGGTTTAGAGTTAAATGGTGTATGTAGTGGTCATTGGTAGTATGAAAATTCGACGAACCATTAATGCTAGGATATGACCTTCATGTGAAAAATGCATTCTAGAGGTTTGTTTAATATGGTTTTGATGATGGTTAGTAGTCATTGGTAAGTGTAGTGTTAAATGGACTAGTTGATAGCTATTGAATAGCTTGAAAAGTTGATGAACTTCCTAAAGGCAGGTTTTGGCCATTGAGTGAAAATAGGTGTATGCCACGCACTATTGCACTAACGTTAGATCACATTGTTTTTTTATATAAATAAAAGGAAAAACTAAAAAGCGCTAACTAGCTGGCCTTTCCATCTAAGTAATGCACCCATTCTCTTCTCTACTACATTCGCTACGATAAAACACTACATTGTGACCCTAGGTCTTCTCAATGACATTGGAGATTTATGTCGTATATGTTATAGTTGATGTGTTTTCCTATATTAATTTTATGGGAAAAGTGTGTATAATTTTGAAGGATGTAAAGTTGTGTCATTTTAAAAGAGAGAAAAAGATAGATAAAGGAGGAGAGAGAGTTGACAAAAAAAAAATAAAGTTGTGGGTCCCACCTCTTTGTGAGAGTGAAAGGATGTAAGTTGTGTAATTTAAAAGTATAGACACTTTTCCCTAATTTTATTTGATAGAGCTATTACTATTAACCTTATTTTGCTATTTTATTTCAGTTGATACCATCTCATTTATTTTATGATATTGTTTTACTTTATTTTTCACTTGTTTTTACAAACGATCGGCCGGTTTTGTAAAAATCAATAACTTATCAATTCATTTATAACCCACCCACTAACGATAGGCACAACTCGATATATGTTTTTTCGATAGGATTATAAACTGAATTGAGACTTAAATCACATAATTGTTGAGCTTAAAAGATAAAAAGGAAAGAATTGGATGTTAATTTTAACCCATTTTCAGTTAAGTTTAATATTTTGGGTAAACTAGAAGTAATGGGTTATAATTTTGGCATTTCAGGTTTCTACAGCCCAAAAGTTTTGCATTTGAGAGACAAGTCCACTTAAGCAATGGCCCAAGGGTAAAGCTGGAAGAAGAAAGAAAAGATAAGCTGAGGGGTAGACGTGGCTCAATCTAGTCCATAATCAGTATTGCAACTGATGGAGTCCTGACCTCTTTCTCTCATTCTCACATGCATCATCGAACCCTAGCCTTTTTTCTCATTGGGTGCACCTTTGAACCACACCTCACACCAGCCATCATTTCACACTGACCATCTTTCCATCTTGATTTTTCTTTACAAATCAAACCACCAAGCCACACTTGGTCTTTAATTTTTGTTTATCCATCGAGCCTTAGGCCTTCAACCATTGTCCCTTAAGCTGAGCGTTCAACCCAAAACACTGACCTTAGCCATTTTCCTTTCAAAAGAAAATGCCAAACACTACCTATAACTGATTGGGTGAGCTGGAGTTTGTTAGGATTGTTGGCTGAAGCAATTTTTGGAGTGTGGTTGCTGTCTTTGCAAAGGAATCACACGATTTTTACAAGAGGAGCGCGTGTGGATGCTGACGAACGGCCCAAAGCCCATGCGTGTGTAGAAGGCGCACTATAAATGGAGCAATTAGCACCATGCAAGGCTCTACTTTGTCTTCTTTCTAGTCTTCTCTTTTCTTTTCTGTCTTCAATTTTATTTTGCTGAGTAGTTTTAATTTTGTTTCTGAGCACTGTAGCAGAGTTATTTTGTGGTTATAGCTTCTGCATAGTGATTTCTAGTTGAGTTGCAATTTCTTTTTAATTTTTGTTTGTTGTTTTTGTAGCTCAACCCTTACGGGTATGATGAGCTAAACCTTTGAAGGTTGCGTCTAGGTTACCCGAACCTCAGTGTTGAATGCTTGCTAATTACTGTTGTTAAATTTTGATTCTCAGTTGTTTAATGCCATGCTTGTTGTTTAAACATTTTTCATTTAGGCCTATTGTTAAAT